CTCAATTAGTTTCAACAGCTGTTTTTCCTACCTGTATCTGAGGGTCCAGGAGCAGTCAAATACTTGTTGTGAACTCCACCATATAAACACATTCCTCCTGACTTGGCAGATTAGGTCAAAACACAAACTCTAAGTAAACAAGCAAGCCTGCCACAGCTCAATGTACATAATGGATTAATAGCTCCCAACAACATTCTCATTTTCTTTTTTTAAAAAATAACTGAGACATAATAGCATTAACAAACAAGTTTTCAGGATATGGGAATACATGCAAGCTGGACCCTGGTTGTCTTGGGAACAGGTCAGAGTGTCCTAGAGTCCTCCCTGCTAACTGCTGATTTAGGCTCCTGTAGGTTATGCTTGGCTGGTTTTCCAAAATAGTACTTGTTGATTAATAGAAATTATTTAGGGGACTGTGAAGGTCTGATCTCTGACCTGAAATCAACTCAGAGCTGGAACAAGGGGCCTCAGTTATTCTTGGCACACTGAAAGTAAAGAGGAAGAACACTTCCTCCCTGGGGACTTGAGTGTTCTTGGCCTGAAATTATTCTTGTCATGAGACTGACTGTTCCTTGAACCCTGTTAAACTTAAAGCTGCATAGCTAATAAAGTTATAAGAACAGAATGTTGTTTAAAAAGCATAGGACAGATAAGATTCCAAGAAGGGCTGAGCCCTAGGAACACGGAAGGTACTGTAAATATTATGAAGGTACTGTAAATATCATGATGAGATAATTTGGCTTGAGAAGAACATTTTATCATCCTCTTGTTTTACTATAAATAAGGTTGCATCTCAGAATAAAGCATGCATTGGCTTCACATCCTCTGCATCCCGTGTCCTGTTTCACCACTCCCTGGGTCCCAGACCCATCAGAGGGTTGCAACAGGGGACTCTCCACCTGTATGCTTGGGAACTTAAATTTTTCATTCCTGGTTATAGTTTCTCTGTACAAAAAGTATCCCACAACATTTAGAGGTTCCTAAGAGACAACTGCCATACAACAAACCCCCCCAGAGGGAATTTTGTGGCCAATAAAGACAACACAGAATAACAGTAAGACTGATAATGTCAGTTTATGAAAGAGAAGGAAGCTAGTTCCGTGCAGGTGGAGGGTTTGGATGGAAAATTGTATTTTCTTATGTATTTCCTTGACAGTGTTTGTTCAAGCTTAACTCTCAATGATTGGCTTCTGTATTCTGCTTGCTTGCCTAGCAACATGATCAATATAAAAAGACCCAGAGTGTTTAGGCTCGAGGCCGCACTCGGACCCTCTAGGAAAGAGTGTAGCCCAGCCTTAATCTCTCTTTAGGCTCTGTCTGTTTGGGGCATTTGTGGATCCCAGACCATAACACTTAATCCCTCAGGACCCCCTCCTTGCCCTCCACCCAAGACAGTGTAAGATGGAATATAAATGAATTTATGTATGAATGCCTGCAAGAATGATTTACATATCAAAGCTCTGGAATAAGCATGTTTTTCTCTGTGCAAACAATGAGAAACCTGAAAAGTCTGATACTATGTGTGTGATTCTAGGCCTAGGGATCGAAGGGCAATATTCTCTGATAAGGGTGGATCCTAGCTTCAATTCCTCAATTCATGCCAGAGACACTAGCTCAATAAATGAGTGAAGCCTGACTCGAGAGCACAGTTGTCAGACATCGGAAGGAACAGGTGGTTCTCAGAGTTCATGTCCACTCTTGGCCTTAAAAACTAATGCTCAGAGTCAGGCTGTTTCTTCATTCAGTTGTAAGTGTAATGTGGCTTAGAAATGCCACAACTCTCAGCTCAGAAACTGTGCAGTAGGAGACTCAAATTTTTTGCCACTCCACATATGACCACAAAAGCTCTGTGAATGGATTTGGAGGTTATGGATACATCTTAGTGAATAGATGAATTTACAGATCTGGAATCTAAAAAATCAGGATTGGAGTCAGGCACAGGACTCCAAGATTCTTTCCTTGACTCCACATAGGACAATTATACTCTTCTATACTCACAAAAAAAGAAAAAAAAATCTAATAAAACAGAAGCAGAGAGAATGCAGACTAAGAAATATTAGACACAGCTATGGGTATGGGTACTTAACTGAGAACAAAGGATCAACAGAGTCCCTTTGTTCTGGTTTCCAGCAAAGAGCTTCATAAGCCCACAGAATTTCTGGGTAAGAATAGCTTTTAATATTACCAAAGAATCCTTCTGGCCATACTTTATGTAAATTAGGTGAGTCTTAGATAAGGAGGGACTGGCCCAGAGACTGTGATTGACAGCTGGGATTTTTCAGCAAGCCCCTCACACCAACATCTAGGGAGGAACAAAAGAGTAGACACTGCATTTAATCATGTGGCCAATGAGTTAATCATTCCTTTGTGACGAAACTCTAACAGATTCAGGGTGAAGCTTGCAAAATGCTTCTTAGTTGATTAACATATCAATATGTCAGAAGGGTGGCATTCTCTGCCTGCATAGAAACAGAATTTCCCCTGCTCTGGACCCTCCCTCTTTATCTGTTGTTACAACATACTATAGAATTTACAACATGACCATATCTGGGTATTATTATTTAAATGTGAAGTCCCGTCATCTTGCCCCCCCCCATCATATGTTGAAGGCATGCTCCCCCTGACTGGTAGATCCAATCACTGAAAAGCGACTGGCTCATAAGAACTCAGAACTAATCAATAGATTAATCCATTAAAAAAATTCTTAACTGAATGGACTGTTAGGAGGCGGGGCCTGGTTGGAAGAAGTGGGCCATTACCAGTTTCACCATCCATCAGACACAAGACTGGGGATCAGAGGAGAATGCGGCATTTTGACCAATTCAATGTCTAGCGGAAGAGCTGAGCTCACTGCTGCCCTGGGCTAGAATCTGACCTAATCTCAGAGAGGGTTCCTGGGAACAGAGTTCTTAAGTCACCACCACACAGGTGACAGGAGCTTCAAAGTAATTCGCACAGTGCCACATACATTAAGGTACAGTCATACTTAAGCCACAGCCCCACAACGACCCATGTCCTCACTATCAAACGGTATCTGGAAGACAACAACAACGACAACAACAACAACAAAAAAAAATCAGGGCGTTCTGCCCTCACGGTCTCAAGGCTCCACTATCCTCACCAGAGGCCCTTCGAGTCGTCCTAGGTCAGAACCTGTAAAACTGAGCAAAGGGCCTCCATCCAGTGCTACATAGCGTTTCTTCACCTAACTGATCTAACAGTCCTGCCAGACCAGTAGAAAAGGAAGCGGGGGGGGGGGGGGGGGGGGAAATGGGTCGGCTGCTAGGCCTTTTGGGAAATGTAGTCCAGAGACGACACCCCCACCCCCCCTTCCGCCGAGTCCCTTCAGCGCCTCCTCTAGCCCAAAACGACCCCGAAACGACCGCTCCAGCAGTTGTCCACACCCAGCCTAGCTATAGGGCCGTGCGTCACCACATCGCGGCGCGGTAGGCGTTCAGCCTCTCCTGCCCAGAATGGCCCATCCATCCCTGAGGACAGGGGAGTGCCCCGACCGGAAGTTGAGTGAGGCGCAGGGCCTTCTGGGAGCAGCCGACTGCTGGCGTCTAGCGACCGTCCCGCCGATGAGACTGTGAGTCGCCTGTGTCCAGCCTGTCGGAAATCTCATTCCAGGCGTTTCCTGTTGGTGACGCTGGCGGGACCCGCGGCGGGAGGGAGGGAGGGAGGGAGGGGCCCGAGCGGTCCGGGGCTGGGGGAGGGGGCCGAGTACCTCGAGTCACTGCTGTGGGGAGAGCTCGGCGCGGGAAGACCGAGCTGGTGAGTGCTCGAAGTTTAACAACCCCGAAAACCGTGGTGAGATTTCGTGGATGTGTGACGGACCATCCTGAAGGGGTGTGGTGGCGGGAGTGTGTGTGCTGTGTCAAAGTGATAAGTGGAGGTGTGTTCTTATGTGAAGGGTGTGGCGAGTGTGAGCATGGTGTGGCAGGTGCGCTTGTACCGCGAGGTGGGTTCTTGTCCTTGGGTCTGTAGCAGTTGGCATACCTGGTGACTAAGGAAAAAAATGCTGTTTTTAATACCTTCACACACAACCCCGGTCCGTGGACCACCCTCGCCCGGCTTTGCTCTGTTCTCTAACTTTCCAGTTTTTATATTTTCCCAGTTCATTATCATCTAACTTCTTGCTTGTTTTATTACGTGTATTAGCTTATTTTATTTATCCTTCTGTTATTTAATTTTGGAGTGCTGTGATAAAACCTAGCGCCTCAATCGTACTAGACCAAAACTCTTAGCACTCAGCTACTTCCCCAACCCTGGAAGTAGTTTCATTTATTTTCCTGTTGATGTTGTTAAGCGGGTTCGCTGTGTTTAGCTGATCTAGGCTTCATTTGATTGAGTGACGGAGCTGTAGGATGAATTCAGCTCTGCCCTCCATTTACCGTTTCTGGGGTTCAAGTTTAAAAAAAGTAGTTGCTAGGACATTTTTCTTTTCATGATGACTCACCAGCGTACAAGGGAGATTAGGCAGACCCTTAAAACCCCTGCTTCCAAATATATTCATACTACATTGACCAAAGAAAAGTCTTGTGAGTAAGCTTAATATCCATTACACTTAACAGTTAGAAAATAGGCAGTGTCATGGAAATTGATTTGTCACATTAAGAAACACGCGACTTGAGTCTACTGAATGCCTTTAGTCTAAATGCTCTTGTTTGATGATACTGCTTTCCTATTTTTTTATTAAGTCAGGAATTTTATTTTCCAATCCCTTTGTGTTTTAGATCTTGGTGTCTTTATGTTTCAGGTTTCTTATGAGAAGCATATTGCTGAGCTTTTTTACTCTTTTATCCGATTGACTTAACAGGTGAGTTTAATTCAGTTGCATGTTATAATTACTGCTAAAACTTTATTTTCTATTAATTGTTTACATTGGTTTCTGTTCTTGCAATGTTAACAAAACCCAAAAGTTAAATAAGAATTTAGAACACTTGAACTTCTGAACTAGGTTGCTATACTTTTCTGTGTTATTCTTGTGTGATAGATTGCTTTCTTCTCTCTTAAAATCCTCAGGCTGTGTGCAGTGGCAGATGTCTGTAATCCTAGCACCCAGGGGGCTAAGGCAGGATGATTTCAAGTTAAGAGTTGAAGGCTTTATAGGGCTACATTTCAAGCTTGAGACCAGCCCAAGGACATTATATGAGACGCCATCTCTACTGCAAATAACTACCAAATTCCTTTTTAAAAAATATATGAATCTGCCAGGCATGGCGGCACATGCATTTAATCCCAGCGCTTGGGAGGCAGAGGTAGATGGCAGGTGGATGTTTGTGAGTTCAAGGCCAGCCTGGTCTACATAGTAAGTTCCAGGCCAGCTGGGGCTACAGGGA